TGAGACTCAGGTTGTCCGTGCGAATGGCCGTTATCAAGCTTATGCACTAAAGTCTCTGCGCCAGCTCCACCAAGGGCGACGTCAACCATCGATTGTAGCACAACTTGTAGTCGTCCCTCAGAAACAGGGACCTTGCTGTGAACATGTGCCAAACCTGCGGGACATAGACATTTCTCATGTTCAGGAAGAAAGAAATTCGTACACAATCTGAAGACGGCATTGCAAGGCGTTGCCTCATTCGGAGGCAAGCGTTCGTGCCTACACCAGCGGTGAAGTGAAGTATGAAGCGTATTGCAAAGTTCCTGCACAGCTTGCATATGCCAAGCTCCGCTTTTGACATTTGCCTCCAACACCAAACTACGTCCAGCACTTTGCTGCGCACGAGCAATCCGCATCAGATTGTCGGTTCTTCGGGAATCCACTCGATTACCAGATCCGGCCGCGGGGCCATTAAGTCTGATCCACATTACTACAGGCTGCTGTGCTGTCAAAGCCTGCAGCATCTCATGGAGGTGCTTCTTGGAATGCAAATCGTGATGAAAACCCACAGTTGTGTAGCCTCTGGTTTGCAGAACGCTCTGCCTCAAACCCGCTTTATCACTAAGAACCCAGGCAAGAGGCTGCATGGCAGCCATAGATGGAGCGTTGATACGCTTCACATCAGACTGAACATAGGCCTTGTCAAGATCAGACGTGGAGGCAGGCGTAACATCATCACTCAGTGCCGCATTGCGATGTTTAGCGGTAACGAGTGCAGTCTCAGAATTAGAAACTGCGGTCGACTTGACTTTGTCGGATTGGAACGTCACACGTTTGGTTGACTCTGTTTGACGTTCAAAGGCCGAAAGTTGGAGGGGCCTAGTGGCATTGTCTACTGTCCTTCTGGCTCTTGCGATTCGAGACAATCCACTGGGAGTATTAAATGTCCTGAATCAGACAACGCCAAACGAAACATGCGACTTCCCGGACTAAGTTGAAACGTGTAACCGCCGGGACCAGGCATAAGCAATTTGCCCTGAGCACAGTCTATGACAGCACCCATTGCACGCAAGGCCTTCAAACCCAATAGGGGAGGCAAAGTTGATCCCGGTATCACGGGAGCTCGGAATTTTCCCGTCACACTGTTTCCATCTTCAGTCCTCATAAAGATGGGCACTTCCCAAACCTGATGCGCTCGCTGCGCATCCTTGCCTACACCTTCGACCGTCAGTTGTTTGGTGAGTCCGCTCACCATGGGTGACTTGCCAACCTGCTCGCTCAAACGACGCATTGTGTCTTCACCGGCTAGATTATCATGGGCTCCAGGGTCTACAAGAAGACCCACTCGGTCTCCTGCAAGACGAGTACGCAGGTGAAAGACAGCTGCATCTGAAGTGGAACCTGTAGGCACATCAACCACTTCCCACCAAGGGTACAGCATGGATGAGAGATCCTTGACAACCTGGCGTCGTGACGCAGCTTCTTCTTCCTTCTTGCGTTTGTTGCCTACCTCTGACATGTGAGAGGGAGCAGGATGTTGAGGAGGAGGATAAGCAGGTTGAGATGCAGCACTCAAAAGACGTTGCACTGGCACTTGTGTGACGGTTGCATCTTCACGAGGTGGCGCTACGGGCACAGCAGAACTCGCGGTGCCGGGTTCCCAACTAGGAGGAACCTCCGCATTAACGACTTGTGTCTTGGGCGAACATGAAGCATGCCCTGAGCTACCAACTTCTGAAGCCGGTTGACTGACACTGCGAAGTCGGTCAATCTCAACCTCAAAACCTCGGAGTCCTTGCCAGTGCGAGGGCTCACTCATTGCCATATATCCTGCTGCAGCCGAAGCTTGCGACGGAGCGGCTGAGCCAGGACCTGAAGGCACTGAACTGAGATGGTAATGCTTGACAGAGTCCGCGGTATGAAAAACTCCGGTGCTGCGCCAAGGCTCAACCATGAATGAAGACACAGCAGGGGGACCGGGCAGAGCGGGAAAGACAGGGGCGGAAGACGCATGATGATCTGAACGATGGCTCTGATTTGAAACCACCTGGGGACACCGTTTAAACAGATGTTCATCACTACCGCACCTGTGGCAGCGCAGAGGTTTGCCATCTCTGCCACGCGGGTTCTTGTTCCAACCGGAACCACCCTTCTCGCCACCCTTGCCCTGCCCCTTTCCCGCAGCAAATGCACCTGGCGGAAGGAACGAGGCATATGTACCGCGGAAAGCTGACCGCTGAAGATGAGGCACGTGACGCTTCTGCTTGTAGTTGAACTTTCTATAACGACGTGGCGGACGACCGCTCATACGTCGCCAACGGCGTTTCGCCATAACATAGTCTTGGTAGACCTGTCCTAGAATAGCTTCTTCATCTTGCCTGGAAACACCGTCTACCATCACAGACTGATACAACCCAGCAGCCTCACTATCTTCTGTCTCACTATCAGAATCAGTACCCGAACTAAACTCTTCATCGAAGAAGGACAAACAATGGGGACATTGGGCTGCTCCATCCTCCTGCGACACGTAGGCCTCAGCCCTGGAGCCAGAACTTGCCGACCCAGTAAACATCTGATTCAACCCTTGACTCCAGGCATTTCCAGCAAAACTTGCCCCAACAAAGCCTCCGCCTGCGCTCGGGGGTGGCTGCATGTTTGTTGAAGCCATGCCGGGAGAGCTATTGAAAGTGGGAAAGAAGTAGTTCCCAGGATCACCCGTGCCTCCCTGACGAGTGCCATGCTTCATTGCTCCCTCATGCAAGTGTCCATAACAACGAATGCGCTCAACTAGCTGGTTCATGGTGTCTTGATCATGAGGAAGCTGACCCGCATTGAACTGTAAGAACTTATCCCAATCATCCGGACCCAGCTGTAATGCACGCAGCAACATCCACGTGAGGCCTTGGATGTTGACACCAAGTCCGCCTCGGATTGCAGCTCTGTTCCGAAGAATGTCGAAGCGAACGAGCAACTCATCGATCGTCTCACCTGGGATGCGAACGAAGTTCAACAATTCACTTATGGCCTTGGTGCTCGTTTCTTGCTCCATTGGGGCGTAACGTCTTGCCAGATGTTGCACTAAGACCATTAGACCAGTCAGCATCTGGCCTGTTTGCGGGTCCTGCAAACCGTCCCTGAGATGTTCAGGAGGAATTTCGCGTACCAATTCTCTAGCTGAACCTGTTATCTGCAAGGCGGCTATTGCTGCTTGTCGATCAACCGGCACTTCTGTAGCAGTTGACCACAACACAAGGTCGGATATCCAACTGCGCAAGGTGTATGCATGTGCCTTTTCCACGCACCAGGTGGGAGGGCACTTAAGGGTAGCAGTACCTAAGAAGGGAGGTCCTGCGTCTCCGGTGTGCACATGCTGGCCTCTGCGAGGGGGCGGCTGGAACATGCAGCAAAAGCAGACAACGACGTACAACACACCAAAGCTTAAACTCCCAACCTCAGCCCAACTTAGAACCCACGACGCTAGCGGTTGTGCGGATTGGGGTCTAAGACCTTTGACCCTCCGCGCCCTGCGTGTATCATTCCTCAGGGGAAACCCGGCATTTCGGTACATCCTGGCCTTTATACTCAACACACGTCGACGCAGTAGCTCAGTAGTGTTGCGCACAATGTTAGGCGGAGAGGCCTCAATCATAAAAGGCTCGATGCGTTGCACCTCGGGCTCATCGGAAGCTTGACTTTGGTGGTTTGGATTGCCAAGTGTCTGGCTCGCTACACTCAATGATGCAGTTGACTGGATTGCTACATTCGACAGAGCAGTTGACTGGCTTGTTGCACGCGACAGTGCAGCTGACTGGCTTGCCGCATGCTCCGAACCACTGGGGACATGGGGTCCTAAACCGAAACTTAAGGTGGGTTCGGGCAAAGGCACCACAGTGAGACCTGTATCACCCAAGGGCTGATGTCCTAAACCTGAATGGGAAGGGGTATCTGGCTTCAGCGTTTGCGTCATGGAGGGTTCTTGAGAAGCTTGGAAACCCGATCCCAAACCCGAATCATCTGAAAGAGAAGGCTTAGGGTACAAAGACACTTGGGACACGGGATCTACTGGAAACCCCGAAAGGCCTCCCAGGCTGCTCCACGTTCCAGTCGCCTCATCATAAAGCACGTATCCTTGCTGTGACAAGTCCAACCACGGAATCCCTGCCACATTGTTGTCATCACCATCATCGGAGATCACAGCATCATCATTGGGCTCATTTGCGGTAGTCGGGGTAGCTGTATATGTCGTTGTCATATTGTGATTTGTAGCATCTGGCATGAAGGCTTGTTCCAGAAAGTAGACAAACATTCCCGCGTGTGCCGCTGCCAAAAGTAAAGGCCATATGCACCAACGACATACACAGCTGCACCCCGACTTGAAGCCGAACCGAAGGCCCCGTACAGCCAATGGCTCCGCTACCAAGTCGGAATGCAGCCAACGGTCCTTGTTGTCAAACCCCAGCTCGAGAGGCTTGTCCATGGCTGCTTTGCCCTTTTCCTTAGAGCGTTGCGAAGTCCTGTCAGTTCTCAGGCTCATGTGGCCTAGGATCAAGTACAGATCTATACAAGCAAGTAAGGCTTCCAGGATGGATCAGGACTGGCAACTAGAAGACAAATATGATGCAATGACGACCTGCAGGCTTAACGATCCACAATGCAGCGGACATAAGGTAGGGAAAGTACCTTTCGACTGTAGGGCCTTGGGTTTAGAGTTGAGGGTTTGAGGGTTGGGCTTGAGCTTTAGGGAGGTCATACCCTAAATGCCAGATGAACCCTAAACCCAGACCCTAAACCCTAAACCCTCTAGAGCTTTAGGAATGTCATGGCTTCTTTTCCTAGCTTCGGGTTTAGGGTTTTAGGGTTTCCGGTGTAGCCGCAACTTGAATCCCTAAAACCTGAAGCTTATCAGCCCTGGCCACTAGAATCCCAAACCCTACAAGCAACCCTGAAGCTCAAACTTCAAACGCACATGAACCCTCAACAACCCTCAACCCAAAACCCTCAAGACTCGCTGAGATAGCGACCCTGAGGAGACATCTCTTCGCCGTCATTGCAGGTTGCCGCGGAGACGGTCCTCAAGGACCTCGGCGAAAGGATTTAAGAAAAAAAGCCCTGAGGCCTAAACGCCAAACCGAACATTACTTGAGACTCCAGGGTTTCAGGGTTGTGGGGCTGGGAGTTCTGGGCTTATGGCTCTAGGGATTTAGGACAAGCCTCAGGGTTCTAGGTTTAGGGTTTGGGCGTCGGGATTCGGACTGTAGGGTGTAAGTTCGGAGGCTTCGGGCTCCCTTGGCCAAAGTCCGAAACTTGGGCATCCGCCAGATTACTTAGACGCCCTTAGAACCAGAATAAACATAAGCTTCTTATGAATCCCCCGAAAGTATTTCAAAAAAAAGGAAAGAAAAAGAAAAGCATGATTCCTAAGAGCAGCAAAGGTTTAGCTGGGCCCCAGAGGTCCCTCGAATAGGGGCTTAGGCACCAGGTTCCCAGCGAGAGAACATCGAAGTGGGGAGGCTCGGGGGTCTGGCTTTCAGGGCTGGTAGTCTAATCAGGAACCCCCCCAAAAAAAAAGAAATAATAATAAAATAGTAGAGGCCTTCTATATCATTAGGTTCGTGCTGATGTTGCTTTAATGGATTTAGTGGTTTAAGGGTTTAGGGGTTTGGGCTCAGGGCTTCAGGGCTTCAGGAAATTAGGCATTCAGGAGTTTGGGGTTTACGGGCTCTGGGTTTAGGGGGTAAGGAAGTAAGGCTAGAAGCAGGCACAAGGTGTTGGGGCACACAGCAGAGCCACGCAGGGAAGAAAGCTGACCAGATATTCTTGGAGTAGGGTTTGGCGGATCTTTTGAGGGTTTAGGGTTTAGGGTTTAGGGTTTAGGGTTTAGGGGTTTAGGGTTTAGGGTTTAGGGTTTAGGGTTTAGGGTTTAGCAATAGTCCAAAAAGCTACACCTTAAAAACCCTAAAGCCGGCTCGCTTCCGCAGGTGAGCTCTCGCAAGAGATCTCTGCCCGCGATGCCGTGCGGACGGCAAGCGCGAACAAGCCACAACTGGGTTTAGGGTTTAGGGTTTCGGGATGAGGTGAAACTCGCCTAATATCAGAAGAAGAACTAAACGGCAAGAAAGGCCCCCACAAACAACAAAACATCTTCACCGGCCTCCACGCTAGTTCCCAACTTCCTATAGAACCCAAACCCACCAAGCCCAGATCCCCGGCACCTAAACCCAGGCCTCGAAAGGCCTCGACCCTGGTTCCAGACCTCCCAACAAACGTCCCTTCGACTCCCACTGAATGTTGTTATAGGTCATGGTGTTGCATCGGCTTTGATAAGGCTTCGTGGGGCTTTGTAGAGCGTGGTACAAAGTAGGGGCGTAGGATGTCGGAGTTTTGGGCTTTGGGGTTTCGGGTTACGGGTTAGGGTTCAGGGTGTAGGGCTTAGGGTTTAAGTTCTAGGATAGAGGCTAGAGTCAAAGCACTAAGGTGAAAGTTCAGGGCCTCGGGGTCTTAGGGCTCAGGTACCAAACTTAAGGGCTTTCAGGGTTTAGGGTTTAGGGTAAACCCTTAGGGGTGTTTCGGTGGGCTTCAGGGGTTCAGGGTTTAGGGTGTAGAGTGAGAAGATATTGTAATGTCACATGGATACCTCAAGGGAAAAAGCAGCCCCCAAGTTTCCATCCCCTACCTTCTCGCTTCGCATCTTCTGGTCGAATACTCTATATAAGGCTGGGAAGACTCATGTGGGTAGTTCTCTAAATTAGGGTCCCAATTAGGGTCCCTGTGATAAGCGTGCCGCACTATATTGGGGACCCAAAAGGGGACCCTAATTTTGAGAACTACCCATGTGTAATCTTTGTTTTACAGGTGCTCTTGTAACTAATTGTACATACAATGTACCTCGACTCTTGGACCAGACAGCCGCTAATGAAGGTCCCACAGGCGAAACCCTTTTAGAAGCCTTGCAGATCGCAAACCCTGTTATCCGAAACCGTAGAAAATGAGTACAACACTGTTGGAAGACCTTCCTAATTTTAGACTAATGAATATGTAGGACCCTAGAGCCTAAACCCCAAACCCCAACGCCCCCTTGGGCCGCCAGACCTGTCTCCATCGCGGCTGCGGCTAGCGGGCATCGAGCGCGAACGCGCCTTGGCCTCGTGGATTCCCGAGTGACAAGTGCATATAATTTAGGTACCTGCATAAAATTAGAACGAATACGGTTTGGAGGTATATGAGAGTATGCACGACGTGGTGAGGATCCCTAGAGTAATGGAGTGTAAATTAAAGCCTCAGGAAAGCAGCTTCGGATATGGCGCTTGGGCTTCGGAAGAGTCCGGAAAATACCTGTATCGACTTTAGAAAGAGAGCTAACTTCAGCAATGCATTGGGTGCAAGATGCGTAGAGGAGCTTCATGGCCGAAGGCTTCAGGATCTTGGTCGAGTGTCGATAAAATCTCGGACTTGGTTGTTGAATACAGGGTCCGTTTTGGTGGGTACCTTCCACCAAGGATCCTACTGCTCCCAAACCCTAAACCAAACATGGGTCTTTAGGATACCTTGCGAAACTCTTCGGAATCGACCACAAGCTCGCCTCTGCTTTGTCGAGCTGGACCCAGTCGAACCAATAGTCGTTCACATCGCTGTAGTCCATGTCGCTTTCCTCTTCTGCGCCTGCAATATTTCTACATTTAGAAGGAAGCAGGAGCAAGATAATCAACACAAGCATGCGTTAAATCCGCTATCAGCAGAGAGTTCTAGCCTTGAGACTGCAACTCCTGCAGGAGGTGGAGAGCTTAGCATAGGTCCGGGGGCTGGGAGAGCAGGGCCTGGAGTGCCTGCATGTCTGCCTACGACTGCGACCTCGAACAAGAGGTCCTTGAAATCGTGCACATGTGCAAATCTGTGTTTTACTCTCACCATGCTCGCGATTCTGCTCACGATCACTCCGGCTGCATTTTCGTAGCACTGTGACTGTGATAATGCTTCTATCTGCCACTCGTCTGGTTGGATTGACACATCTGAGGCGAAAAGCTACCACAACTGGCCAGTAGCCGCACAGACAGCACACACTTCCGTGGAAGATCCAGTATGAGGCAGCAATCTTCTTTTATAATCCGGAGAATGCTACGTACTCTGTTGAGGGGGCCGGGATGTCAGACCTCTGATCAAAGTTGTGATGATGATGCCGAGGCTTATAAGTGTTGGTGGCGGCGGCGGTGGTGATGGTGGTAATGGGTTGTGGTGGTTGTGATGGTGGCAATGGCGGCGATGGTGGTGGCGGTGGTGGTGGTGGTTCTGGTGGTTCTGGTGGTTCTGGTGGTTCTGGTGGTCCTGGTGATGCGGGTGGTCCTGGTGGTCCTCGCAACATGGGTGGCGCTGGTGGTTCTGATGGTGCTGGTTGTCGTGAGTGAGACATAAGGAGATATGAGATACACAACCAGAGATGCAGGGTTAGGGCTTTTGGCTGTGACTGTTGCCTGCACATAATGACTGAAAAAAGCTTTTGGGATCGATCCCTGCTCCCTTTTTGCGCAAACCCCACACCAAAAAAATCCAGTTACTAACTCGAGGTCTCCCGTCTGCTTCCAGGCCGCCGCAGGCTGCGCCGGGGTGGAACCGGGCAGTCTTCCCAGCACGGCCTGGCGAGCCGGGAAACATGTGGTTGTTGAAGGGGAGGGTTGGCAACACCTCAGTCTCAGAAGAGCCGGAAGAGAGGATGAAACCACCTCAGTGCCGCGGAGTGACGAGGAAGTTATGGCGATACCACGGTCGATGTCACGGTTTTGCACTTGATACCGAGTGATACCTCACCAAAATTACTACGACCCGAAACCATAATACACGGGCCTAAAGACTGTGTTGGGGGTTTTCTTGCTACAATTATAATATAATTATTAAGGCCCCTATATTACCCCCGAAACTCGTGGTAGGAGCCATCCACCTGCTGTGGATGGCGGTTGAGCACCTCAGCCTCGGTGGCGTAATATGGGGGCCTTAATAATTAGAATAGGGTTTTTGGGGTACATTATACAAAATGAAAATGATTATAATCATAATGATAATATGGGGCCTTAATAATTAGAATAGGGTGTTGGAGTACACTATACTATAATTATAATGAGGGACCCCCCAAATAGTATTGGTAATTATTCAGGCCGCTATACTAAATTAGCCCAACAGCTGATCGCCAGAGCACGGTTTACTCGAAGGGACACTGTCACAAGGAACTTTCGCCTCTGCGCTTTTCGACCCCTGCGCCCAAAACGTTACCCAAGGCCCCTACACCCTGAACCTTGTATACCCTAACCTCCTAAGACCCGAAACGCTAAACCGCCTAAACCTTTTACCCCAAATCCCAAGCCCCTACGCCCAAAAAACCTTAGACATTGTATACCCGAAAACTCCAAAAGCGTGCGCTCTGGACCCCAATACCACCCAGCCTGCCTCCCCCCTCGGGGGTCCTCTCTGTGCGGCGAGCGGACTGCATCATGGCACTGACCGTGGGCATTCTGCATCTAGAGGCGTTAACACTTTAAGGATCTAGCCTTCAGGGTTTCGGGGCTCACCGTTTGAGATGTGATTAGGGGTGAAGGGTTTTACAATGCCGTGATGTCCAGTGCTTAGGCTTAGTCTTGGATCTCACACTCCTTGCCGCAATCGGGCTCATGGGGGAAGACGAACATAGGATCCACGCATTCCCGAAGAAGAACACCTAAAATCCTATGTGAAGCCCGTCCACCTTGCTTATGGGGTGGTGGGGACCTGAGCCCTGGACTGGGACATCCAGAACCCTCCGGAGCCGTAGACCCGTAACAAAATTACTTTCAAACCCTAAAGCCTAAACCACTTAACCCAGAGCCCCAAAGCCCTAAATGCATCCACGAGCACAGTTTGGAGGCTCAAAGCAGCTGCGGCAAGAAGAGTTTAGGGTTTGGGGGCTTAGCGTGACTTCAAGGCTTCAGGTTTGGACTTTAAGTTTTGGGGTGCAGGGAACACACTGAGAGCAAGAGGCACCAAATCGCGTGCTTCATGACCGCTGATTCTAAATGGAGGCAGCGCTTTTCCGCGAACCGTTTAGGACCTAGGGCTTAAGCCAACAACGCCGAACCTCCAAAAATCCTGTACCCTGAATGCTGAAACCCTACAAACTCAAACCGGCGTATGCTTGGCTTTCCCCGGAAGTTACAGCAGCTGTTCGTAGGGTGGGTTGGGATTTGGATTTCAGGGTTTCGGGCTGAAGGGGTTGTATCATCGACTTAGGAATTGAAAACTCCCGACCCCCACCTGATTACCAAACCCGAGACCCCTCAACTCTACACCCCACCAAAACCCCCGAAGCCCAGAAAGAATCCGCACACCCCAAAACCTCTCCACCCTGAGCCCCAAATAAAGGGCTTGTCTGATAGGGTTTCATCAAAGGGTTGATGACGGTACCGTAAGCGATCTAGAGTGTACTTCGTATGGGAGGTTCTGAATGTAGCGGTTCTAAAGAGTGTCGGGCTCCGGGTTCAAAGTTCACGGGCTTCGAGGTCAGGGCGTCTTCCACTTGGGCTTTACGGTTGAGGGTTTAGGGTTTAGGATTTAGGGTTTAGGGTTTAGGGCTGAGAGTTCGCCTGAACCCTAACCTCCGAGATATAGGCCCGGGAACTCCAACCTAACAGAACAAGCTCCAGAAGTCGAACGCCCACGTCCTAGACCCGAATCAAGCCCCAAACTCACAATCACAAACCCCGCTGTAGGGACCTTACAGTACTAGTACGCTTGGGTTTTTGGACAAAACATATTTTCAAGTTAGGGCAGCACAACCATTTACTTTGTCCAAATACATGGGCAGTATTATGCTGGTCATGCAGACCTATACGTTACCCTTATCGACCCTACCAAAGCCTCCTGCCGATAAAATCTTTCTCAAACCGTACCAAGAAGCACCCCTAACCGCTAATACTAAAGCCCGAAGCCCTAAACCCCAAAACCCAAAAGCCCTAAAGCCCTAAGGCTCAAAACCATAAACCCTGAAATCCCCAAAACCCAAAACCCAAAGCCTAAAAGCAGCCCTAAGTAAACCCCAAACCCTTCAAACCCAAAAGGCCCAAAAACCCTACAGCCCCAAAGCCCCAAAAAAGCCCTAAGTTAACCCTAATAACCCTTAAAATGCCGCCGCGGAACTGCACCGGCCGCGTCTCGGTAGTATAAATGGGTCATGGCCCGGAATCGCTCCTGGAGGCGAAGGGGGCTGAAGGTTTTTGGGGGGCTTTGGGTTTTGCGGTTTTTTGTGGGTTTGGGGTTAGGACTTTTGGTCTTTTTTGGAGTTTGGGGTTGAGGGTTTCGGAATGCCGGCTTGACGAATCTTAGTTTTTTGGGGTTTAGGGTTCTAGGGCTAGCTACGAGTGTTGGTGGGCCGAAGGTTTCCGAGGTTTGGGGCTTAGGGTGTAGGGATGTGGGTGAGGGTACCCAAAACCCTAAACCCTAAACCCTAAACCCTAGGTCCAGGGATCAGGTCTTGAGGTTTCGGTTTGGTTCCCGCAATGCGGGGACGATCTTCTGGCAGCTGTGCGGGCACTCTTCTACAAACCCTTCCGAGGATCCTTACTTCCCAAGGCCCCAAACCTGTAGGCACTTGAATAATTAGAATAGGGTTTTGGGGTTCGTTATCCTAATTTATCCTAAAATGATGATAAGGAGCCCCGAAAATAGTATTGGTAATTATTGAGGCCCCGATATT